AGTAAGTCAAGCCATACATCAATGTAGGGAGCCTGGCCTGGATGCCCTAACGTGGGTGGAACACTATCTGATGTACCCTTACTGCTATTGAGGGATCTAAAGTGCCCTTATTGGGCCAACCTACTCCAAACGTTGGCCATTCCCCCTCACAAAAGACCCGCAATTTATGCCTACTTCATGTAAGACCGTAATCCTGGGATTCATATGCCACCTTAAAATGCTTTAACATGCACCCCAACGGGGTAAGTGGCACAATTTCTCCACCTCCCATGAGCCTCCCATGGCACCAGACAGGACAATTTGAGAAGGGGTTACAAGAAGAAGGTAAGGGGTCCTTCTTCTCAGGACAACACCAAGGATTTCTTCCATTCACTCATGTCCGACCCAGGGAGCCAGGTGCACACGGTCTCCAATGGGAACTGCAAACATCTCTCACTCTCTAGTGGCCCAAAGTGCTGGACACCAACAGTCACCGATAGGAACCGCAGTAGCCTTTCACCTCAACCACTTCTGATAATCCTCCCACCTTTGCCTAAAGGAAGGGTGATCAGTCCTCTCCTCTGTCCCTGTTTACAGGGAGGGATGGCTTCCCATACACAATACTTGCTTTCTGGCGAGCTCTTCTTCCACCAACCAGCTGGAAAACATCCTGGTCTCCTCACCAGTGGTTCTTGGAGGTGTCAACCGCCACCACCAGAACCCTGCGTTACCGGGAAGTCCCTCCGATTCAAAGGTCCGATGGTGCCTGGGAAGTTCCCTTCAACTCACCAAAGCATCTGCACCGGGGTGGACCCTCCAGCGAGCCTCAGGGCTCCTTCAGTCCTGCTGCAGTTGCCAGAAATGTTGTAGCAGATCCTGCTTCCAATTCAGGACACAAGACCACGAAGGGTTGGAGAACACAGGTTTATTTGCGCAAAATGGTTCAGAGCATTAGCATGACAAATTCTGAACCCTGGGCTACTCCCGGCGTCACTTTTATTTAGCACACAGCCCTAGCTTCACCCAGGGCATTTTCTCTTATCTAGCTATACCATAACATAAGTACTATGAGAAAGGAGAAGTAAGTTAGACTTGGTCATCTTGCACAATTCCCTATATATGGTAGTATCTTACACCATCTGTGACTTTCCATATCCACCCTCGCCTTCCTTGTTACAGGAAAATATCTAGTACATAGGTCAATATGTTTATATTCATATTCAGCAAGTTCTCTATATTATTCTAAAGCTTACAACATAGGAATTAAGCAACTTCTACTAATAAGATTTGCAGTTTAAGCAAACTAACTTCTGCTAATAATATTAATACTTTTCTGGTATTTTTCCATACCGCTTCAATATCTTCAACTGTACAAGTCAATTCATGAAGACCAACTACTAGTCCCTTCTCTAAATTATATTGCTGAAATCACTGCAGATCCCACTCTCCCCGGGTATAATTGTCAATATACAGGGATCCTTCACATACTTCTACGTGATCTGGTACACTGATATTGCATACACAAGCATTTGTATATACTGTATGTGAAGTCTTAGAAAGTAGAGGGGCTTACAGAAATGACTTAAGAGGAAGGACTTTTTGCTTCATGAATCCAGTGTCACAAAGGTCTTCATCTGGGTTTTTAAAATCTTCTCATCATAGTGGTAGAAGTGTTTCCAGAATACAATTCTTCCAGTAGATGATCTCACCAGCAAAGGTGAGGGAATGCTCCCACTAAGTATAAATACATGCTGGTTTTCATCTGTGTTGGCAAAATACTCATGTTTATCTCCTGCTATACTATTATGGCTGCCTATTATATACAAAGAATCACTTAGGTTGTAAAAATATTCTATGGTCAGATTGATGTCAACAGCAATCATACATTTCAGCCATACAAATCTTAACTGAATCATCTGGAAACTAATTCTTGCTCCCTTTTGAGTCATGACTGTAATTCACTTAATTCTCCAAAAATTTGTTTGAAGGAATGATTTTTAACTTTCAAGAGAAGTTTCCAAGCTGTTTGAATCAGATAGAAAAGGAAATCTTAGCCTCAGTAATAACTACAAATTATATCTGGCAGGAGTCATTGTAGCATTACATACAATGCTCAGCATGTAGCTATGCCTGCCAAACTTCACAGGAGTCAGATTCTTTATATTTATTCAAATAAGTAAACAAAAAACAAATAATACCAACCTCTTTCATATATTTATTTTTGTTGAGATTCAGTATGATTAAATCCAGGTCTTAAGTTGTACGTAAGTAGACCCAAGTATGCAATTTTATCTTTAACATTCTCTTGATCTTATAAAAATAACGCTCCTAAAGCTTTTTGTTATTATAATATTTGTAATTTTGCTAAGCAACATCAACATTGAAAAAGTCAACTTCTTTTCAACAAACACCTGCAATATATATTAAATTCCTATAAATATATTTATTTAGGAAATAGTCTGAGTATAATATTGAATGAATTAATATTGCAATTCCTTAAAGGTGGAGATATAGGCTGATATCACACACAGGTTCCTAAAAATAAGTCCCATTTAATGGAATGAAATATACTTACAAATAAAAATATATAGGATTAAATAATACTTTGATTGCAGTTAAACAATATATTTTCTCTAAATTAACTGGGTAATTTTATGCAGGAGACAAATACATGTATATTTTATTAACTTGGAAGAAAGGAATAGTCCATAATCTAGCACACTGATCCAATGTGTTTGGCAGATGTGATCAGTGTTAGTCTGGGGTATTTATCATGGCCTGTGCACCTTGGGAGACCCTTCTGGACATATTCATGTATAACGACATAGCCTACGATTTCATGTACCCACACAAGCCCCTTTGCCTCGTTAAAGCCCCAAATGGCTTATATGGTTGCCAATTTCAATGTGACTGGAAATTATACAACAACAAATCAACAAAATAATAACACTACATTAAAAAAAACAACCCAATATTTAAAAGATAAAATGAGAATTGAAAATTGTAATTAAACAACCAAAAATAAGACTCCACTCAACTGAAATCTGATGCCTAGGGGAAAAGCCAGGTCATGATGACTTTTCTAAAGACAAGCAGAGTTCGGCCCTATTATGTATAAGGAGATAATTTCATAGCCTAGGGTTAGCCAACAAAAAGCCATGCTTTCTAGATCCCTTGAGATGGTAAAGGTTAATAGGAGTGTTGTGAGGAAAATGCTCACTAAAAGCAAAATCAAAGCATTTGGAGATAGAAACAATAATATATACTTCATTGGAAATATTTCCAGTGAGTTCCCTGTTAGCAGACTGCAGAAGAAACACAAGGAAGCTCCTCACAACATATGTGTTGGCAAAAAAATATTGGAACAAGCAAATAAAAGATAAAAGGGGTAATGTAATCACCCAATGCCTTCTGCTCTGATTAGAGTACTTTTCACACTTATCAATATGTACCATAAACATTGGTGTTTATTTGTACTCTCTATGAACATAAGCATAGGATGGAATCTTGATCACTTCTCTTAATGGCTGGGGTAGAGATATACAAATGACACTGACGGCCCTCTGAACCAGGACAACCATCTTTTGAGCAGGACTGAAACAGATTTGTTCAGATTCTTCAGAAGGGAATTCTTTCAGATTTTATTCCATGAAGACAAGCTGAAAGGAGTGACTTAAAACTTAATGAGTCAATTGGAATTAGGATGGATTTTTGTCAGTCTGATATTTTCAACAAAGTCTTAATCTAAGGTTTGAAAATGTATTTTCCCTTTATATAATAATGCTTAACTAATTCCTAAAGTTTGTAAAATATTGTTTAAAGTGTATTTGAAAGTATCTATGCTAAGAGAAAGTTTTAAAAAGATGTATTAGCTTAAAGAAAAGAAGAGAAATTATTCTATGAGGGTAACTTGGACGGAGTGATCTAAATTTAATGAGTTAATTGGAATTTTATTGGTCTGAAAGTGAATTTTATATATATTGAGAGGAAGTTTTAAAAAGATGTATTAGAAAGTTTTGATTTTAGAAAAGTTTCTAAAGAAAGTTCAGTGTTTTAAAATGGATGAAAAAAAGTATTTTCCCTTAGGTTAAAGAATCTGAAAGAATACAGTGAATTTTATTTATATAAATGGTGATAGTTTATAAAGATTATTATGTGCAAATAGAAATACATATTATTTCCATAGTAAGGAGGATAAAGCAGAAATAGTTAGATTGTTTTATTCAAAGAGATATATTTAAGTATGTTTTTTATTTAGATATCATTTCCAGATTTTGTGCTTGTGATGAAAAAAAAATGAAACTTTGACTTTGGTTTTGCCAATTGGATAGATTTGTTGTTATTGATATGGCTAGCTATATACTAATGTATAAAGGTAAAAAGTTGAGGCTAGAATGTTATGATAACAACATTTAGTACTGTGCTAAAAAGAGTTGGAAATACCTCATTTTTTCCTTCTGTTTCTCCTTCGCTTAATTTCCTATTCTTATTTTTATTTACTGTATTTATTTATTGATAGATTGATAAAATAATAAAAGTCAAACCTCAGGAAAAAAGAAAGGAAATCTGTTAGAACATTTTTTTCAAAACTGCTGAAACGTGATGCTCAAAAAGAAAAATCATATTTCCACAATCTGCATAATTGAAAGGAAATACATAAATAAAATATGTAATGGATAAAATAACACAGCAGCATGAATATGCTTCAAGCTTAACATTTCCATTTTTAATAGGCAAGCATGGTCCAATCTAGCAAAATTTTATTTTTATGTTTCATTGTGTCACATTGAAGTAAATAGCCTTTATTATTACTGCTAAGGTGTTTTGTACTGTAAAAGGGAAGCAAATTCATTCAGAGAACTTGCAGCACAAAGCATTAATAGAACCTTGAATTCTATTATTTCAAAAAACAAAATTATTTGTCTTTAGAGTTATTTGTGTTATTTGTTTAAATCTTCTCCTGATTGCATATAATGATACAGCCAAAGGTAACTGTGCAATGAAGAACATTAATAACAAACCTTTTGAGGAGCGAAAGTGTTTGCTGGGAGCTGTAAAACCTCTTGTTCCATGCACATTTATGGCTGCCACTCTAAACTGGTACCACCTGCTAGGTCTGATGTCAGTCAGTTGTAATCTCTCATCTGTGATCTGCAAAATATAATCCAGTTAACATACACATTTATTATTTTTGTGATCTCCATCAGTGGACCTTTTATGTTTTGCTTATTGAAAGAAGAATTCCTTTTCCTATTTTTCATGAAATAAAAATTGGACTAGGTAAGATTTTTCAAACCATCTACTTCACCCATCCATAAGTCTTCAGGATCCAACCCAAAAAACTTTTGTCTGACTGGATTAAAAAAAAACAACATCTGAAATTACTAGAGGTTGAACCTGGTATCTTTCACAGATGCAATCCATACTAGACGTGCATGCATCATCTTTTATGCATTTTTTCACACCATACCATTTTATACATACATCTTACCAGTTACATTTCTTTGTATAGTGATGAGCAGAGCAATCTCATATGCAAATATCAACATGTATCAACCCTTTCTAAGTTTTTTTTTCCTAATGTAAATGCTGCTGGAATCCATCGGACAGCATTATGTAGAAACAGTTAGTTTGAATATTACATATATACATATAGTGTGTGTGTGTTTGTGTGTCTATGAGTTTTATACCCTCTATGTGTATAAAATGCATACTGTCTGCTCTACACACACACACACAATCTTGGACATCTTACTGTTACAAGTCAGCATGCAAACAAGCCCAAGTCTTCCCTTTAAGACATCCCCCTAAACTGAAGACCACAGAAAATGACATTTATATTCTGTTCTTGCTATAAAAAGTTTACATTATTAAACCCTGTTCCAAATCAGAGTTAAAAAAAACAGGTGCATGCAGGAAATGCCTCCATTCTGTTCCTGGAATAAAACAGATATGTCTACAACATATGCAACAATGGCCCAATGGGGAAGACTGGTAGTATCTTTTTCAAGTCCAAAGCACAGAATTATGTGATATGTTTTTACCAGAACAAGAGATGACCCACTTATATGTGTTGCTCCACATACTTGGCAAGTTACAGACTGAAAACTGCTATGACTTATTTTCAAATTAGGCATGATAGCAATAGCTATAACACTTAAAATTATATACTTCAAAGGGAGAACTCCATACTTCACTAAGGAAGGTCCTGGGTATGTTTAATGTTTGATGATGGTAATTAATACCAGCCAAAAATATTTAATATCTGATTAAAAACAATTATATTAAGGAAAATCTTAAAGGTAATAGGATTCTATTAAAAATACTGACCTGTGCTACAGTTTGCCAACTTGTTGCATCATCTTCACTGGGATGAATCCCATAATTCCATCTTCTTTGTACCACATAGAGCACAGGTTCAATGGAGATATTGAATTTTGAAGACCATTTAATTTCTAGCTGTCCAGACTGAAGTTCACTAAATTTTAATTCCTTTCTGGGTTTTAAAGGAACACCTAAAATACAGAATATCCATAAAAAGAAATTGTGTTCACAACTATTTGATTCGGAGAAGTAAGACTATATCATATAAATAGAATACCTACTCTCACATTTTATCTCAACAGCAAATACACTTTTGCTTGTTTTATTGTTTAAAATATGTCATATGCTATCTTTAATACTGAAAATACTTATCAGCTGTACTGTGAATGTATTATGGAGATAAGCCACCATTTCCATGATTCAGTAGTTGTAATAGATAGTATAATATTACAGAAGTGGTTCCTATTTCCTGTTTTCAGGTGCTGACGCTTTTTTCAACTAATTCAATATCCAGAAGAGTTTACATGGGAAAACATGGCCAGCTTGAGACTTAGGGTAAAATTATAAGATCTGTCATATAAAGAATTAAAAATTATCCTATAATTTTATAAGAAATGTAATACGTGTGATGCTTCCTTATAGGCAGAAATTAATTGTTATATATGACTTAACTGATTCATTATAATAAATATGGGGTCTCAGTGAAAACAGTAAAACTATTTCAAGTTTATTTATACTGCTTCCACAAGTTTATTAGATATTTTGAAAAAACTGGTAAGACTTTAAATGTGGCATATGTGAACATTTAATCAGAAGTAATATTTCTTTCTAGGACATGACATTTTCTCTAAACTTAAATCTAAGAAAACTGTTTCTTTAAGAAACTGATGTGCTACAATTGCTAGAGTTATGTTTGGCTTTGTGTTTTGGACTTGTTACAATTGTTTGTGCCACTTAAATCATCCCCAGAATAAATCAGACATTTATTTTTGCCAGCCTGCACACTTTTCTTGTTAAATCACTTCTAAATCACTTTTCTATAAATCTAGGATTTTATCTAACAAATAATGGAGAACTCTAAAATTGTCAAGAATAAAAAATATTGGAAGCAAATAAATTTATTTTTATATTAGTCTTAAGAGGAACTATGCAGCTTCTCAATAAAAAAGTTATTATTATGTGTAATAATCCTATAGGCTCCATTCTAACAAACTTTCCATCTGCTTTGCATTATGGTCAGTAGGATTCACTTGATTGGAACTAACTCCAACAACACCAACTAACCGCTGGTGGCTGTAATTGTGTGCAGATGGGTGTCATGCAATAGAGCAGGGTTTCTCAACCTTGCTAACTTTAAGAGTGGTGGACTTCAACTCCCAGAATTTCCCAGTCAACATCAGTCTCCTGAAACCCAAAGAATTTGACTTTTAATGATGAATGCATATTTTTTCATCTTATACTGAAGACATATCTGAAAAAATTACTTGACATGCCAAGCTTAGGCTCCACATTTTATTTAATCCCTCAGAAATATGGGTAGAAATTCATAAGTTTCGAGATTAATAAATAGTGTTCATGATAATTTTTCAAATAATTATTGTTTCATGGTCTAGGATTCAAACTGTCTCCAAAGAAGTTGCTGCAGATGACCAATAGAATGCCAGTATCAGGGAATACCAAGCCAGGAATCATTATGGTTTCATTCAATGTCACACCACTCTTTATATCCATAAAACCAGAAATAATAAAATAATCCATGTGTATTATATGACACATTTGAGATAGGCAAATACACTAAGATCAAGATATCCAGAATCATGGACTATATACATAGATACATATACAAAATCATCAACCTCTGCTTCACTACCTACTTTGAGTTTAATAAACAGGTACACACACACACAAATCCTTATCTATGGGATCACCATTCTCAGAAAGCAGAGACTGTAATTCAGGGTGTAGAAACTATAGAACATTCATACAATCCAAAGCATGGATTCATTATGTAGACCACACCTTTGTCATAATAAAGAGACAATAAGAGAAGATATATGAAGTGACAATGTCTCCACATGAATAACATTCACAAGAGAATGGGAAAATAATCCACTATCCTTCCTGGATATCTATACCAGCAGAGGAAATTACAGCAAACTAGAAATACAAGTCTACCAAGAATGACCCTAGTAAGTGCTCATTACCAAAATAATAACCCAGCCTCCACAAAAGGACCTGTATAAAAAAATTACTCAGAGGAATATAAATATACTACAGCAATCCAGAACACCAGGAAAAAGAAACACACTGTCTATATGACATCTTCCAACACACAATTACTCACACAATTTTATTAAAAAGTGTCTGACCAGACAACCCATTACAGTACAACCAATACAAGCAATGAAAAATATAAAATTAGTATACATCAAAAACATCTCAGAAACATCAGACTATTACAATCATACAGCATTACCATAACACACAAACGAAGTTATCCAACATCAAAAGACCAGTAGCCCAAGAAGGAAAAAGAGTAGTCATCTGTCACATACAGTGTAAGGACTGTAACAGCTACTAATAGGGCATACAGGTAGAATAACACATCCATGAACACCAACTAGCAGTTAAAAGACATGATGAAAACTCTAATCTCATAACACATGCACAGGTCCAACCATAGTTTCAACTGGGCAACAGTGAGCATCCTAGACCAAGCAAAATACAAAATGCTAAGGAATTCCTAGAAGATTGGCATTCAGACAAATCAGTCATCAACAGACATGCAGAATCTATTTACAAGTCAGTAGGGTCATTCTGGATTCTACATGTTTTCTTATGATGAAGCTATTTTCTGAATGACAAGTGAGTGATCACACAGTTTCTCCTTGTCTCCTGTTCTACTGCATCTGGGTTTGTCACCCAGCCACCAATCTCCACCATTTTCTTCACCAAGAACTCTCCCTTCTTCATGTTTTTTTGTTTAGCTATTGTTGGGGGGAGGGGTGTTCAATCAAATCATTCAATTTGCTATAGTAAAATGATCATATAGGTGGTCGTTAATTATGGAGTGACCTATTTCCACTAAACCTAAGAAGAGGAATGAGATCTTGATTTCAGATATCTTTCTGGGTCTTCAATTCAAATTAATTTATTTAACTGATTAAATTAACTATACATAGGATTTTATTATTCAGTGAGCTACTTCTTTGAAATATACAGTAAATTCAGTATTCTACTGTCTATGATGCCAATTAAATTTTATTTTTAAATTTATAACCATTTAATTCTTTTAAATGAAGAAATTTATGAACTGTAGGTATTATATAGTTCTTATATCAGTCTGGTTTTATGGCTTTATGACTTAAGAAAGTCTAGGAGTTATATTCTATAAAGAATAAACATTTTTGTCACAATTTTGAACCTCTTTACTCTTTAGGCAATATTTGCTTGAGGGAAAGCCATATTGTGGCCATTTGTCAAAAAAGACACATAACAACTTCACAGTCTCATCCCATTGGCAATGAAACTATAAAACCTATTGCTTTGACACAAAGATGTTTAAATAACATTCATTTCTGTTGCTGAAACAGATTTTTTAAAATTTTAATCCTAAATGTCACAAAAAGAAAATGTAGGAGTAACATTTGGGTGTACACATAAACAAGTCATACTTGTTCAATAATCAAACAGCAACCTACAGAACCTGTTGAGAAAATATGAGCAATTGTGAATCTACAGTAATTCTTCACTTCTATACATTAAGCATATTTTAAAAAATGATTAAGTGTTTCAGCATCCAAGGATGAATTCTCTGTACCCAATTTAATACAACTTTATCACAATGCTAATTGTTAATACAAACTATTATACACACCTCACTTGAATTTTTAACCGGTATCATACCTGAATTTTGTTTTCAATTAAAATCTAACCTTGGCTTGACTTGGTCTCCATATTATGACTACCCCTAGTCATCACAACATAAGAGCAGTGTGGGAATGTTGGTATACTTAAAAGAAGTAGAGTGTGGGTGACTACATAGACACACACATTTTCTCTAGTCACTTCTAATAATAAACTCTACCTTTATAAAGATTTTTGGGCACTTGACATGTATGTCCACATCCATTGGAACAGCACTTTTTCACCCCAGAGCATTCGTTGTCAGCCTCACAACTTTCAACACAGGCAGCTGCAAAGCCACTGGCCTTCTCAGGTGCTGGGCAGTCTCCTTGCTTCACTGACAGGATGTATTTCAGAAACTCACAGCTAGTTAGACATTCATAGTTCTTCCTGGGGAAAAGAGGCTAAAGGAAAAGTAAGAGAGGTAACTTTTAAAGGTAAAAGTTTTTACTGCAAAAAAAAAAAAAAGTCACAGTGAAATATGTTGGTTTGCTTTCCAGTAAATTCTTGACTTTCCTTATTGACCACTTCCTCCTTCAGTGGATGAAAAAATGTATAACTTTACAGCATCAATGCATTAAGTCCTTGACGTGGTATAAACAATTACAGATGATATGACTGAAGGAGTAGAAACAGCTGAAACCCTAGATAAATCTGATTGTGCAATACTGAATTCTTTCATTTGGAGACAAATGCACCCAAATGTATCATTTGGACTTAAAAATATGGATTTTTTTTCAAAAAGAAAAGAGTCAATGGAATAATTGCTTAATACAAACAGTAAAATGCTAATAGATGATAAAAAATGATAAAAGTAATTAAATCCTACAGTATGTTGCCTCATGTCATCAAATAAAGGGTACGTGTTACATCAAACAATTACATAGAAAAAATATAGTGCAGAATCAATGCTTGAAATTGAAAATTTAAATTTAAAAAGTGCAGTCTGTATATTTGCATTTTGGGGTATTAAAGGAATTGTTGTGGTGTTTTCATCTATATTTCCAACAAGAGGTGGTATTCAGCAGGTTCTGACCAGTTCTGGAGAACTGGTAGCAGAAAGGGGGCGTGCATAAGTGCACCAACGTGCCTACCATCCCTGTCCTATTGTTTCTTTTATTTTTCTTATATATACCCATTTCATGTATTCATAACTATGTATATACTTATACCTATTATCTTGTAAGCAATTGACAAATCAAATAAATAAATAAAATAAATTTTGAGTAGTTCGGAGAACTGGCAAATATCACCTCTGACTGAAGATTTTACAGCATCCTTCCCCTGCCGTGCCCACCAAGCCATGCCCGCAGAACCAGTAGTAAAAAAAAAAAATTGAATCTCACCACTGCTTCCAACAAAAGGCCAACATCCAATGAGGGAGCAAAGGATTTTAGACATGAACTACTGACTTAAAAACTGGTACGCCAAGAGAACCTCAGATTCCTAGACTATGGTCTGCATTACCTTCATGAAGGGCTACTGGCAAGGGATGGAGTGAACTAAAATAGAGGGGAAAGTGGGTGCAATTTTCAAGACCTCTTTCCCGCCACTAATAACTAATGTATGTAGGAAATATTTCACAATAGTAATGGGAGACTTTAACTACCCTTATATCAAAGGGGAGACAAACTCTGCAGCATGTGGGAGATCAAACAGATTCCTAACCAACCTAGCTGACAACTCTGTCAAGCAAAAGGTAGAGGAGGAAACTAGAAGAAAAGCTATACTGGACTTAATTCTTACTAACAAAGAAAAAGTGATAGAGAAAGTTGAAACTGCTAGAACTTTGGACACGAGTGATGTCATACATCCAAGTTACCCAGGAGCTTGCTCTTCCTGAGACCATCATCTGTGAACTATCCTTAAATATCACATTTCGACTCTTACTATGTTACAGAGCACCTGATTATGACATCAAACATGTAAACAAGCTAAATATACTACTAACATGGGCAGCATCCTGCCCACAGGCTTTTATCTTTCTAGGTGACTTCAATCTACCTCATATTGACTGGACCCTAAATGAATGTACAACTGAACCCATACACGCAATCTTCTACAATGCTGTTACAAATCTGGGACTGGAACAACTAGTAATCAACAATACTAGACTTAACAACTGCCTCAATCTCATCTTCTGCAATAATTTGAATTTGATTTACAGAATACAAACTAAAGAACCCTTTTCCAGCAGTGGCCACAATATTATTGACTTTTGTCTCATCATACGCCTACACAAAAATCATCACAATGACGTAATCCTCAATTATAACTTCAAAAAAGGCAACTATGATCTTATAGACAATGATCTCTCATCCCTTGAATGGCAATCTCTATTCACTGGATGCAACTGTTGAAGACCATTACAACATATTTTTTCTTGAAGTCAAAAGAGTCATCAAACTATATGTACCAACAACAGCCCCCCCCGCAAAAAAACAGATTACCCATAACAATAAGGAAACTTCAATCCAAAAACAGATCACTCAAGCAGAAAGACAAATCCGGTAACATTGCCAATTTCAAAAGCTGATACAAAAATTTATGCCACCAGATAAAAACTGAATGCACCAATTATCACATTAAACAAGAGGAAAACCTTCTATGCACCAATTCCACCTGCACTTTTACAATTTTGTAAACAACAAACTAAAAGACTCAAGGTCCATCCCACCCCTGATAAGACCTAATGGTAAAGACTGCAATGACGACACCATTAAAGCCAACATCTTTAACACATTCTTCAGCTCAGTATTTGTAAACAGCAATGGATCATGCCCAGTATTTCCTAGCTGAACCGCAGACAACTACAATGATCTAATACATATCGATTTTACAGAAGACAATGTTGAAAAAGCACTACGCAATCTAAAACCATCTCTTTCTATTGGACCGGATGGAATATGTGCCTACTTCTTAAAAAAGCTATCCACTGCCATAGCCAAACCTCTAAGCATAATCTTTGAAAAAGCACCTTTCAGGACCAGCTCCTTGCCTAACTTATGGTCACAATCCACGGTCATCCCCATCTTCAAAAAGGGAGACCCCAGCCTAGTTGAAAATTACAGACCAATCTCCTTATGCTGCGTCACCTGTAAAGTCATGGAATCAATTATTAACCAATCCATTATCTTCCACTTAGAGACAAACAACCTACTCTCCAATAAACAATTTGGTTTCAGGAAAAAACTATCCTGTAATCTGCAACTCTTACACTGCAAAAACATATGGACTACACAACTCGATCAGCAATAGATGCAATCCACATAGACTTCTGTAAAGCATTTGATTCAGTGGTACACAACAAACTACTCCTAAAACTAAAATCTTATGGTATCTCTGGACAACTGCATAACTGGATAGAAGCATTACTGTCAAACAGACAACAAATGGTCAAAATTGGGAGTGTCCTATCAAATTCTGTACCTGTCAATAGGGGTGCCCCCAAGGCAGTGTTCTAGGACCAACTCTCTTCATACTCTACATAAATGACCTCTGTGATCATATCAAGAGCAACTGCGTTCTCTTCGCTGATGATGTAAAGCTGTTCAATACCACAGACAATACCGCTACCCTTCAAAAAGATCTTGACTATGTATCAGAATGGTCAAACAAATGGCAACTTCAAATCTCAATAAATAAATGCTCTGTCTTACATATTGGCAAAAAAAAAAATCAGAAAATAAAATACAGACTGAATAGTCAAGACCTTGTTGATGATCCAAACTCTGTCAAGGATCTTGGAGTACTCATCTCTAATGATCTAAGTGCTAGAGCCCAAAAAGGCATTAAGAGTTGTTAACCTAATCTTACGTAGCTTTTTCTCTGGTAATATTACACTAATAACTAGAGCATACAAAACATTTGCTAGATCAATACTCGAATACAGCTCATCAGTCTGGAATCCACATTACGTATCTGATATTAGCACAGTTGAGAAAGTCCAGAAATATTTCACAAGAAGAGTTCTCCACTCCTCTACTCATTATAAAATACCTTATGCCACCAGACTTGAAATTCTAGAACTAGAAAACCTTGAATTATGCTATCTTTGGTCTGATCTAAGTGTGGTATATAAAATCATACGTTGCAATGTCCTACCTGTCAATGAATACTTCAGCTTCAACCATAACAACACAAGAGCACACAATAGATACAAACTCAAGGTTAACCGCACCAAACTTGATTGCAGGAAATACAACTTCAGCAACAGAGTGATCAATGTCTGGAATACTCTACCTGACTCTGTGGTTTCTTCCCCAAACCCCAAAAACTTTAACCTTAGACTGTCTACTATTGACCTCACCCCTTTCCTAAGAGGTTTGTAGGGGGTGTGCATAAGCGCACCAACATGCCTACCATCCCTGACCTATTCTTTCTTTTATTTTTCTTATATGTACCCATTTCATGTATTCATAACTATGTATATACTTATACCTATTATCTTGTAAGCGATTGACAAATCAAATCAAATAAATAAAAAAATATTGGAATTCAATATAATTCAAATAGAAACACTAGAACATAAACCAGCCAGTGTAAACTTTAAAAGAGTTGATTTTAACAAATTCAGCTAGAGCCTAAGAAAAATTTACTATTTTAGGTTAGAATTCCCAAATTGTGAATCATGACTTGCTAGAAGTCAACAGCAAATCTGAGGAATTGTACATACAAATGTGGATTGCTGCCTAAACTTGCAGCTGGCTTTTTTGCGCAAAGATTCTGACAAGACTACTTACATTTATGCAGACTAAATGGCCTTCAGTCAACTTCTCCTTATAGCATGCATAAAATATACTCAAGTGACTTCTAAAGAGTTTTTTCACAACTAACATACCTCACAAAAATTTTGGCAATGGTTTTTCTTCAGATCCCAGGACTCTTTGCAAGGTTCCAAACACTGAAAAGAATAATTTGAAAACATGTCAGGAAGTAAATAAGATACCTATTTCTTTAATCAAGATAGGAATTTAAAACGCTGTTTTAAAAGAAACAAGTACTGTATCAATGCAGAAAAATAAACATATAATGTATTCTGAAAGAACAACATAGTTAATTGGGTTCAGCATGGAAAAATGCAATTAAATTAGCATTTTTATATTTCTCATTTATAATAGTATTTATTTCTTTTCCTCATGTTCCATGAATATGATCTTCAACATCTCATCAATGACTTACTCTGTATGATATCAAAAATTTAGAAAGCCTCTTTTTCTGGAATGCCAGTAGATGAGTTGATTTAAAAGATCTATTTATCAATCTTGTTTAAAATGGCTGAGGATCAAGTATTTATCATTCATGATTCTATCATGATTCTATCATGTGTGGTTCCTTGTCCAAAAACCTACTTAGATACAGATAATCAGAGTTGGAAGGGACCTTGTAGGTCATCTAGTCCAACCCTCTCACCCAAGCTGGAGACCCTACACCATTTCTGACAAATGGCAGTCCAATCACTTCTTGAAAGTCTCAACTGATGACGCTCCCACAACTTCTGAGGGCAAGCTGTCCCATTGGTTGATTGTTCTCACTGTCAGAAAGTTTCTCCTTATTTCCAGGTTAAATCCCTCCTTGTTCAGTTTCCATCCATTATTCCTTGTCTGGCCTACATGAGCTTTAGAAAATAGCTTGACCCCTTCCTCCCTGTGGCAGCCCCTCAAATATTGGAAGACTGCTATCATGTCTCCCCTGGTCCTTCTCTTTACTAGACTAGCCAAGCCCAGTTCCTGCAACCGTTCGTTGTATGTTTTAGCCTCCAGTCCCCTAATCATCCTGGTTGCTCTTCTCTGTACTTTTTCTAGAGTTTCAACATCTTTTTTATAAAGTGGTGACCAAAACTGGATGCAGTACTCTAGGTGTGGTCTTACTAAGGCTTTATAGAGTGGTATTGGTACTTCCCTTGATCTTGACTGTATCCCTCTGTTAATGCAATTTAGGATTGCATAAGCTTTTTTGGCGGCTGCTACCCACTGCTGGCTCATATTTAACTGGTTGTCCACTAAGACTCCAAGATCCCTCTCACAGTTACTGCTATTGAGCCTGGTTTCACCCGGTCTATATGTGTACTTTTGGTTTTTCTTGCCTAAGTAAAGTAGGACTTTACTTTTTTCTATATTGAATTTTATTTTATTAGATATGGCCCAGGGTTCTAGTCTGTCAAGAGCCATCTGGATCTTGAGCCTATCTTCTTGGGTGTTAGCTATTCCTGCCAGCTTAGTATCATCTGCAAATTTGGTAAGTTCCCCTTCTATTCCCTCATCTAAGTCGTTAATGAAGATATTGAAGAGTACTGGGCTTAAGACGGAACCTTGTGGCACCCCATTTCTTACTTCCCTCCATGTAGACTTAGACCCATTAAGGACTACTCGTTGAGTACGGTTTGCCAGCCAGTTGCGAATCCATCTAGTGGTGGTGCTATCTATTCCATTTTTTTCTAGCCTACTAAGAAGTAGGTTGTGGTCTATTTTGTCGAATACTTTGCTGAAATCTAAATATATTACGTCCACAATATTTTGCTGGTCTACTAATTTAGTCACTGTGTTGAAGAATGAAATAAGATTGGTTTGGCATGATCTGTTTTTAACAAACCCATGCTGACTGCTAGTTATTACTTTACTTGTTTCTAGATGTTGGCAGATCTGTTTTTTATTATCTTTTCCAGTATCTTCCTGGGTATTGACATTGGGCTGATTGGTCTACAGTTTCCTGGGTCTGTTTTTTTTCCTTTTTTGAAAATGGGAACCACATCAGCTCTTTTCCAGTCCTCTGATAGTTCCCCAGTGCTCCAGTATTTTGTGAAAGATATGGTGCAGTGGTTCTGAGATGACGTCTGCCAGTTCCTTTAAAACTCTGGAATGTAATCCATCAGGCCCTGGTGATTTGTTTTCATCAAGATCAGACAGGTGTTCTCTTACTATTGTTTTGCTTATTTTAACTTTTATTTCTGGTCTGTCTTTTACAGTTATGTTTTTGGTGGGTTGAGCTATAGTTTTTTTTGTGTGAAGACAGAGGCAAAGAATGAGTTAATCAGTTCTGCTTTGTCTCTGTTGCCTGTTACTGCCTTGCCATCTTCTCTCTTTAGTGGACCGACTGTTTCCTTGATTTTTTTTCTTGTTATTTATATGTTGGAAGAAACTTTTTTTATTATCTTTGACTTTTGTTGCAAGTCTTTGTTCGTTCTGAGCCTTTGCTATCCTGACTTCGTCTTTGCAGATTCTGGCTATCTGCTGATATTCTGCCTTAGTTGTATGTCCTTCTTTCCATTTTTTGTACTTGTCCTTTTTTTCTTTCAATTTGCCAAAGAGATCCTTGTGTAGTCATGCTGGTTTCTTCTTGGATTTCTTGTTTTTCTTACTTAAATACTATTAATGGCAAATTGATCAGATTCCTGCCCATTATCTCCTATAACTTTTGATTATGATGACTGCAATCTAACTGATGCCCCTTTTTGAGAAAAGGGGAGCCAGAGGGAACAGGGTAAGTGGCCACATTTCCAAACAATAGAAATGTTCCTATGGGACATTTTAGAATTCTTAAAAATGAATTGCTTGGCTCTACTTCCCATTTATCTTATTATTGGACTCTGTTATTAATTGTAATAGTTTCCCATTTATTTTAAATTTTAAAAAGCTAAAAAGAAGAAGCAAATGAAATGGAACATGTTTCCTGGCTCATGACAACAGACCTTCTGTTGGTGACATTTGTGCCTACAGATTCTATGTTGGGAACCTAGAAGTCACAAACCCAAATCTCCATAGATTTTGACTGTAATAAAACCTTAATCATGCATAACTGCATCTTATATAATGTCCACAGGAAAGTCTTTCTCCACAAAATATTGAGACTATCATTTAAGCAATCTTTCATGACTTACTCAGGTGTTAAGACTGGTTAAACATGTTGACCATGGGGATAAAAACAATTTATCATGCAAACATAAGGATTAATTAATAGTGCAACCTCATAATCCTCTGTTTTGAATGAACTGTACTTCAAACTGATATGTATAATCTCCAGGTCTAGATTTTTTAAAATCTAAATACTTTTTAAACTCTTGTGTCTGGAACCTTTAACTAGGTGAAATGGTGTTTCATAGGGCAGAAACTTTCCAACCAAGATACCTCAAATTGGCTAACTTATAGAATGTTGAGACCCATGACTCCTAAGGTAATGAACTTCAGTGCCCCTGCTATGCTGTCACAGTCACCCGTGATCACATGATCCTCATTTTCAATATTCCCTGATAGTTTACACAACTGTCTGGGAACTTGAATCATATTCCCTCACTCTTCCCATACCTGGCAGAAACCACTTTCCTACTGTCAGGCGAGGGGAAGGGAAGGAAGGGAAAGAGAAAGAGAAAGGAAAAGGGAAAGTAAGTTTTTCAAGTAAATTTAGCTTATATGGAATTGAGCAAGAAGAAGAAAAATTAAAGGGAGACTTCTTATAGACTCTCATGCATAAGCTAATTAAGACAATAGAACTGAATATTTTTGCATGGTTCCTACTATACACGATCAGAAACAGGGAAGAGAAAGATTGTCTAACCATTACCAGGCTTCTCTTTTTAGCTTTTCAGTTCTTCCTAGTGATCCATGTTGACAGATTCAGCATTACTAAACAGCAAGCGCTATAGGGCTTTTCACTTTAATTTCACGCTATAATAAGATACAGTGGTTGTTTCACTAAGGGACTGAAAGCTTTTCTTTGTAAGAACTATTTGATGGTCAAGTTAAGTATCACATTCTGGCAATGAGCATCTGTTCTCCAAGGAGAAATGGTAGTAAGAAATGAAAAACACAGAGAAGAAAGATGTGGAAACTTTTCAAAAGTCATCTTCCTCATTAAAGAAATTAGGCCTATTCAGGTCTCTTTAAATCAATGCAAGTAAAGTGCAAATCAAATTAGCTTCTCATTGGTGAGCTGACAGATTATTTAAGGTTTACTATATAATGGGGTCAGCTGTTTATTCTAACCACATTCAGCACTGAACTAGTTACTGTTAATGAATCCTATTGTTACACCATAGAAAAGCAAGTATGGGGATAACATGATTTCCTGCCAAACTTAAATTTCTTTAATTCCTCTAATATGAACAAAACTGTAAAAAAAAAAACTATCTGGGGCTTTTAGAAACAGTCCTTTCTTGTATTGTATTGTACAGAGCCAAATTAACTTTGCACACTCCATTATTACAAAGCCAACACCAATAATTATATAGTGCATGTCCATGAAATAGCAAGTGGTACATCATAGAATGGTTATCACAGGATATTCCAACCACAGTGATTTCTTAAAGTGGAAATTTCTGAAAGTGGAAATTTCTGAAGGTGGGAATTTCTGAAAGTGGAAATCCGATAATCACATGCAGAGCTCTGCATTTAGATTGCCAAGACTGGCACATATTTAGGTGGAGCTTTTTTGAGACAGTTTGCAAACAACTTACCATAATTTTCTTATATATACAGTAATATCTTCAAAAGCCAACCAGCTGTTGTGGAAGATTGGCCTAACTCCCACAAATCACAGGATTTATGTCCATATGATATGGACCACAATAATAAAGGAATTTTTGCCCTTAAAATCATGATTGATCATGTAAAGAATTAGGGTTGCTCGTTGCAATAAGGTTGTCATGAATGTTTAGAATATGAAATAAATTTAATTTCTGACACCAGGGGACAAATTATTCCAACAGGATTTTTTTTCCTACTGCCTGTTTTGAGCATGTCCTCTAAAAACATTCATTCCAAAACCCAAAGTATTTTATTTTAAAGATGCATATTGTGTTAAATGGGATGAAGTGAAACTCTATCCATTTGCACAGAAAACTCAGGCAGAGGGCGCAGAATATTCCTTTTTCCACCTTTATTTTGCTGACAGCGTATTCTGATTTTATAA